ACGCTCACCTGGGAAGATTAGATTAGAAAACCAATCTGAGAATGAGTCTACTGTAATCGACGTACCATCACTGGTGTTTAGATAATTGACGTACGCGTATCCGAGGGAGCGACGCGTCACAGCGTCGCGGCAGACACGGATGCTGGAATGCCACGACACTTCAGAACCTAATGGAACCAGGCGACTAAAACACGCACCTTGCAACCGGACCGATCATATTGAAGATCTCAAACAGCATGGCTTCCGTGACGGTAGGGTCAAGTTCGCCGACGTAAAGCGAAGCCGAAGGAGAGGACGTGACCGAAGTCTGAGGGTTGTAAGATGGAGTTGGAGCTGGGCCAGCAGGTGCAGGTTCGGGTTGGACCATCGGAACGGTCTCGGGAACGGAAGATGAAGACATATTTGGTTTTCTGGATTTTGGGGTCGTTACTGCTTTGAGGACTTTTTCTGCGACTGCACGGACATAAGATGTAGATTGATAAACAAGATGAACGGAGATGATAAGAAGAGACGAACGTACACAGGAGGCAACAAGGCAACCGCTTTTTTTTCTAAAGTCTTTTTTATGAAATTTTTTGGTCTTTTAGGCTATTGAAACCAGTTAGCACGCGACACTCGGAAACATGGATGACGAGACTAACCAAGGTGGTGGTTGTAGAAAACAAGTGAAGCTGGACGCTTTTAGATCAATCTTCAATTTTCAAACTCAGCTTACTCAGACCATCCACCGGTGGAAGCAAGGGTGGAGGCTTGAATATTTTCTCTTGTTTCATCTAGCACAATAGTGTTCCACAAGTTTTATGTCATTGATCCGATCATACAAGGCCGTCCATTGTGCAGTGATCATAGCTCAGATTTAGACAAGAGTTCGTGATCGGAGAGGTAAGTAGTACATGCACGAATTCGCCACATGACCAAGTAAGTACTATTCGAGAAGGAAGCGTCATATCAGCCTCGCGTGAAATAAGCCTTCGCGCCATGAGAAGCTAACTCTGCTTTAGCCTGCAGGACCACATCAGCACCCTAAACCTGGAACACGTATGTCAAAATAAATTACCTTGTCCATGGTGTGTCCGGCAGCTGAATGGTGGTTCCATATCTGCAAGTGGCCCTAGTCACGCCTCTACTGCGCAGACTGCACGGAGCAACGTACCTGGCGGTAATAGAAAGCATTCCCTAATCCTTGCACTGTCCAGCCAACTGTAGCGATCGTGCCAAGAATGCCAGCGGCCCAGTGGCCTTGCGCGTACATCTGAATTGTCTGAATAAGCCCTGCAGACCCTGTACTGGGAATCCCGATGATCCTGCACGGAATGAAACCACATTCAGTTTGACAGTCATGGTTTGCGAGGCGTACACGCACATGTAAACACTGAAGAGAAGGTGGAAGCCACCAAAGAAGAAATAGAAGTCTGTGAAAATGAAATGCGGTTTAGCGCGATCGAGGATCAAATTTTAGTTTGACGGACAGTAGTAAAGCGCTTGCTCCTGCATGTCATGTCAATTTGAGAACATGCTGGTAGGATGTTGCAATGACGCTAACCTTCATATAACCATTATATATGGGCCTAATGAGGGGTAAATTTCTGAGACCCTGGTGTGGCATGGATGCCCATGACTTACCTATACCACAACAAGAACGATAAAGGCGCGATGATGAACATGTATCTAGCGTTTCATTGAGCGAGGAAGAGAATACACACTAGATCCTTGCTCACCCTATACTTCCACCGAGGTCCTTTCCGCCGTCGCTTGAACCAGCAATTAGAAGAGATATACAAGCTACCATGTTCAAGATCAGGGTTGCCAAAAGGACTAGCCAGAGCTGGTACAGGCGAGTGATCAAAGGTCTTGAAGCCTCAGGAATCTCTTCGGAAATGGCATGGTAAATAAGGGGGTAAACTGGTTTGGAGGATGAGTATACGTTGCGATGAAATGCGCAGTTTGGGTCCTACACGGTGGCCAATTGTTGCGTCCATGGGTACGAATATGCTCTGCTCTCTGGTTCAGTTCGCGCTCACGTCTTTCCAAGTCTTGTTCTCGTCTGCTAATATCCTCAAAACGGGCGTCGTGTTGAGGAACCTGCTTTGATGATGGGTCGTCAAATGGATTTGTGTCAAGCGAATGGCTTGAGGCGAAGGGGTTTTCAGTGAATTCACCTTAGACAAATTCAAGTTAGGGGACAGTTGAGAATTTTCAATGGGAACGCACTCATGACTGGAGAGATTCTATTGCTGGTGTGTAGCTATTTCGCTTTAGCTAGCTGTGTTCCTATCCGACGAAGAAGGGATGTGCACGACTGCCACAAGTAACCGAGCATCGGAATTCGCCGGGATAACCCCCCTTTGTGAGAATTATTCTTTTTCGATCATATACGCCTATTTGTGGACATTTAAGCGGACATGTACATGCGTAGCCATGCACTGCTGCGGGGACCTAATAGAAAATTTTCTACAAATGAAATGATCATCTTACAGCAAAATGACATTACCCATTGGACGTGGTTGGTTACACTACAAGTTGAAGCAAGCCTGCTCAAGGCTTCTGTGGCACAATAAAAAAAAGATGTGACTGCAATCGAGGACAACGTTTTGCCGACGTGGGAAATGAAATCCATTAATCCGGTCATACAAGGGATAAAAAGTCTGAAAGACTTTATTCGGAAGTAATAACCGTGTCTCTCCTCCTACCACTTTCTTTCTCCCTTCAATTACCGTCAGGTAAACGCATTCCTTCGTTTTTTCATAACGTCGGTTCCTCGCATCCGACTCATGCTTTTCGTGCGTGCTAACACCATTTTTTTTGACTTAAATAGTTGGACCTTTGCAAGTGTCCTGTCACTCGTTGATCACGAACACCTCGTCTTCACCCCGCTCTCTCCACATCTGCATTCTTTTTCTCCTATTTACACCACATTATTCAACATGTTCTCCACATTCGCAACACTCGTCCTGTCCCTCATTGCTACGTCTGCAGTATCTGCGCTCGTCGTTCCTCGCACGGCTGCCCCTCAAGGCTGGGACACCTCAGCTCTTGAGGTTTGTCAATCTATCCCTTGTGAATTATGGCCCTGTGTCCTGACACCGTTTCTCAGCCATATGATACCTACCACTGTAGATATGTCGCGATCCAGTGCCAAACCCAGCACAACACCCAATTCTTTTCTGACTGCTGCCACCCCCTCGCGGTTGGTGTTACGTTGTATGTCTTGGATTGACCTTGCTCATAGTCCATCTAGGCCGGCGAGAGCGCTAGCGCTCTTCCCGCTCAGTGCCAGATGCCCTCTGGTGTCACCTGCAGCAATGGTGAACCTGTATCGAATGGTGGGAGTGACGACGGCTGTGATGATGGTCCCTCATCAACTCCAACAGCTTCTCCTCCTGCATCCTCCACCTTCGTGCAGCCTGCCCCTCTGCCCACTACAAGCAACACCCCCATCGCTGCACCTGCTCCGACTACCACCTCTGAGGCAGTATCGACGACCGCGCCATCGACTGGTTCTAGCGACAGCAGCCTGAACTATGGCGGATAGTAAATATACTTTGTCTTACCATTGCTCAAATACTCACATTTGCATTATAGTGCAACTTACTTCTACCAGGAAGGCAACGCAGGCGCATGTGGAACAGTTCACTCTGATTCTGACTACATCTGCGCTATGGATCAATCTCGTTATGGCAACTCTGGCAATACTTCCCCTCTTTGTGGTCAACAGGTCCAAATCACCAATCAGATCAACGGCAACACTGTTGTGGTTACGATTGCTGATGACTGCCCGACTTGTCAGAACTCGAACTCCATCGACCTTTCTGTTGCTGCGTTCCAAGCTCTAGACGACCTCTCCGTCGGCGATCTTCCCAGTACGTCTTGTCTCATCACTATGTTTAATGATCCTGGCTGACCTGACCCTTAATAGTTACCTGGAAGTTCCTTAATTAGTTGTCTCTTAGCAGACACTGTGTGCCTCTTCCATTGTTCACTGTTTTCATTCCTTTCTTTGTCGCATTGATGCGTTATTTGGTTTGACGGGCTAGTCCCGTTGGAGCATGGTAGCTGGCCTTGGCGTTCAGGACATCAATTACCCTGGTGGCTCTTGGTTTCCACACCGACGATCAAATACCCATTCCCTCCACTGGCAACATATGTTCATTGTTCGCTCTTGTTTATATGGCTTTACAATCACTCGGAATCACGTATACTCATGAATTTCTTTTGTTATCGAGTTTTTATTATATTCAGGGCATGCAATATGTTTCATACATTGTTGATAGCTGGCTACAGTAGTGTCACAGATGCTTGGTCATGTCATATTCACATAGACGACGCAGTGCGTAATAACATAGATATTAAATCATTTGATCGATGTCATTGTGAGTGCTGTACTAAAAGAACAAAGGGAAGTCCTGGTTTATACAAGGTTGCTGAACGTTTGAACTTTGGTAACGTACAACTTATTATTAGGATGTATCGTCGAAGGTTGTCGGTGATATCGATGATCTTTGACACCGGATGGTGGCAACGTTCCAAAAAAGTTAGCGCTCGCTATTATAATTTGTTCCTCATGGAGATAGATGTATGCACCGCAGCGTTTAGAACGTTCCTGTTCGATGATCTAGAGTCCTTGTGCCAACATGCCGCCGTCAACGTCAACGCCAACGTTCATACCCAGGAGAGGGGGGGTCTTCAGTTTAATTATGGTACATTCCCTGAATTTGTGGCTATTTTGTAACAACATTTCAATAACACTGTAGATCTAGTTACAATTGGTCTACGTTGCAACAAGGTACGAGACAACACTCCGATGGCAGTGCAAAGATAATTGTTTACAAGCAAAAAAAACATAAGAAAAAAAATTGCTCCTTGATGAGGGCTGTGAACAGATTTAAAAAGGAGGGCTACTAATCAGTTCACTGATGGGCCGATGAACAGGTGCTATGATATCATGTCAGTAGGTCGGGCATGCCCTCGGGCACGAGCCACAGCCTACAGGCCGGTCAGCTGCGTCATCACGGACATCCCAATTCAACTAGCCAGCGCCGTGAAATACTTACCAAACAGTTGCAAACACCTCCATATATAGGTTTTGCACGAACGCGTTTACAACCAAGTTGATAAATATCAAGTATCAGTGCCTCATACAGCTCTAAACTACACACCATGTCAGCTATTGCTCATAAAATTCTGGTTGTTGGTGGTAATGGTTTCGTTGGTATGAGCTTCTAACTCCTTATGTCGTACCAAGTCATTTATGGCTCGCAGGATCCGCGGTTTGTAAGATTGCTCTTGCCCGAGGAATGGAGGTCACCAGTATAAGGTAAGTCATTTCTGCAGCGTATAACAATTCTACCATCCGCGGTGCGGCAGCTCTTCCGGAAAACCTTACAAAACTCCACAAGGCCATGCCCCTGCATGGGTGGAAAGGGTACGTGCCTCGTGCCCCCCTCCCAACCATATCAGCCCACTCAAACCCCAAACAGGTAGAGTGGCGGAAGGCTGACGCCATGAACCCGGAATCATATGCGGACATTCTCCCCAGTGTTGATGCCGTTGTCCACACTGTTGGTACACTTCTAGACAACACGCAGTACAAGCAGAAGATGCAAGATGGTGATTTATTGGGCTTTATTAAATACCTTGTGGGCATGGGCGGTCCTGCAGCAGAAGGTCAACGGAGCGCTTATGATATCCTCAATTATGAATCAGGTGCGTGATCCTTAATGGCCTTGTTTTACTACGTGCGGTATTCATGCGTTGTCAGCTGTTCGTGTGTGTGAAACATTCGTCGCGAGTAAGCCCGTATCCGGACTTACACGTGTTCGTCCCTTCGTCTACGTCTCCGCGGAGGACTTCAACCGACCTCTTGTCTCCGCGCGCTATTTCGAAACGAAACGGGAGGCCGAGCAGCGAATTGAGGAAATCGTCACAGATCATCCTCAATACAAGGGGGTGTATGTCCGCCCCAGTAAGTACATAGCATTGACAATTCAATCTTTAATAACGAGTTATACTAGGTATAATATACCATCCGCATAACCGACCAATGACTACTATTCCAGCTACGATATTTGGTTTCTCGTCACGGGTCCATGATGCAATGCCATCGTATATCCCGATGCCCGCCTCGGTTCTTCGGTGGTTAGGCACGTCGGTGTTTCCCAATGCTACGGACAAAACGCCTTCCTCCCTGAATTCCTTGGCGAACTTACTTTCGATTCCGCCAATTCATGTGGATCATCTGGCTGAGGCTATTTGTATTTCCTTGGATCCAGCTAAGGATATACGTGGTGTTGTCGGTGTACGCGATATGCACCAACTGATCGGTATGTCCCAGACGGGATCAGAGGAGCCGGCGGCAAACACCTAGAACATTATATACCTTTCATATTCCCTCGACGTCATACTGTACATTTTTTGTTCCTTCGTGGTAAATCTTTAATTCTTGGTCGACTGATTACGCGCTAGTTTCATCTGAAGGACGTTAGCTTTATGCAAGTTGTGTAGTTAGTATAAAAATATCTAGTGACTCGGGGGAAGACTCGGAGAATTTCAGACCCAGTGTTCTCGTCAAGAACTATATAAACGATCGAGGCTTCAGTATTATGGCAAAGGCTTCCAGCGGGTAGAAGTGCTTTGATAGTGTGAGTAGGACAGTTATCTGGCTAGCACTGACTCGGAGATAGATGCACGGAGAGGCAAAGTCCGAACTTCGTCTGTCATGGGCTCGGTCAGTCATTGGGAATAAGACGTGCTCCTCTGCCGTATACCAGTGCGTACTGTCATTTTTGGACTGGTACATACATATAACGGGTAATGCAGAACCCAGGCAATGTCTCGAGCGGAGATATGGTTGCACATTCTGACTATCCCGATCAATGACACCTTTACTTATCATTATCGAATAGTTTAGATGATAAGTAAAGCAAGAAACACTTGAAGCGGGGGGTTCGCTGACATACCTTGTGTAAATTCAATCCCCTCACCCCCAATTGAGGTCTCACACGCACACGCAGCCTGGGACGCCGCTTGGCACCAAGATTGGATATGGAAAGATTGGGCGCTCGACTGATGTGACGAGGTCTCCAAGTCAGGTGAAGGATTCCTGGGGTTGTCTGAAACTTATGAAAGGGATTTGACCTTCCTAAAAATCGTTGAAGGAAAGCACGTTGCTAGTGGTACAGCGTATCGCGGATGGTCACATGGACGTTGGCGTGTGAGATCGTGACTAACCACAGATAGACTCGCGAGTGGCTATGATGATAGCGGGTAAAGACTAGACATGGCATTTCCAACGGGTGTTACCATTGAGGGGGCATCATGTTGTGGTGACTGCGTTGGCAAAGTGCAGTACTCCTCTGCCGTGGAATGAAGTCTAGACTCCAATTGTGTGATTTGCACTTACTTACTTTGGTATGACACAAACCGTCTCCTTTAAATCAGTGATTCAGACTTCTTCCCCACGTAACACCCCATTACCACGTAACACCCCGCCAACTCCCCCCCAAATTGTTGGTGAAGCGAGGAAGCGTACCTCGCCAAGCATTACACTAAACTATCCGCGTACGTTCGTACGTATCGACGAAACAAAATTTATCGAACGACATTAAATACACACATCATTCGATACCACCCAGCGGAATATATACCTGTCATTAAATCCGCCTCTAATTCTATCCGCTTCCTTCCTCATGAACTTTCTGTTCGCTCGCGCCCCGTCAATACGAATCGCCCCCACTGCAACTGCGCGCAGATCTATCTCCCATTCTGTATCGGTTTCAAAGGCACTACCATTTTATCTTAACACTCTGCGCTCAGCAGAACAAAATGACGGCAAGGTCTTGCGTATGCTCATGTTCGGAAAACCCGGCGCTGGCAAGGGAACACTCTCAGCCCGCCTCGTGAAAAAGTATGACATACTGTCCCTATCCACTGGTGACCTTTTGCGGCAGCACATCGCGGAGAGGTGAGGTCAAATTCCACGTGTCACATATGTGGCTACAGCGCATGATGCTGCGGTGCTGACCCTTGCTTGTCATGGTATCAGAACTGAAGTTGGCAGACAGGCAGAAGAAATTGTTGCACAGGGAAGCTTACTTCCTGATGATGTCATGCTAAAAGTGGTCGCGAGCAAACTCGAGTTGCTCAACAACAGGGTCAGTCTGCCACATTTCCTTCCGACATGGTTACGGGCCTGAATTAATGCCCCATTTTTACAGCATTGGATTTTGGACGGCTTTCCACGAACGCTAGGTCAAGGCAAACTGCTTGATGCCCATCTTCAGTTCGTCATTCTAATCTCATGCCGTCGGGGCCCGTATATTGACCAAGGTCTCAGGAACCAGAATGCCCCATTAAGTCTTGTAGTCAACTTGGATGTCGCAGACAATGTCATCCTCAGTCGGATATCTGACCGCTGGGTTCATCTGCCATCTGGCCGTGTGTACAATATGTCATACAACCGACCCAAAGTGGATGGCTTCGATGACGAAACAGGCGAACCATTGACGAGGCGACCTGATGATAACCCTGTACGTGGATTCGAAACCTAAATGTTCATAACAAAGTTCCGACGGATGATTAATCAGGAGATATTTTCTCGCCGTCTCAAGCAATTTTACGATTCCACGTCGCCCCTGCTCGCATATTACGCGTCGCCGGTCAACAAATTGGCACGACTTATTACTCTGCAAGGCGAAACGTCGGACGAGATTTGGCCTCAGCTAGACGCCGTCGTGCGAAGGTCGTTCCCCGGCGTTCGGGAACGCGTTTCAAGCATTTCCCAGCGGCGGTATAGTCTCAGTGACCCATTTGCAATGGAACAAGAGAAGCGGGCCATCAAGCGAGGTGCGGCTAGTGATGGGCCTAATCCATCCAAATTTTTAAATTAGCCGTGTTTCGTAGTTGACGTTGAGTATTTTGTTATTCGCCCTTTCGCCATTTCTCCAGTTGTAACTTGTGCACCGGGTTGATGTTGCATTTTTCTTATTCTACCTACGTCTCAACTACGTCTTTCGAATATTTTGACATCTCACCATGTTTTTTATCAATTGTATTTCTACCCTTGCAATCATACCGATAGGAAGTCTGGTATGCAGCATTGGGATCAAATTGGTTACCGGACAATTGTTTGTAGAACTTCAACACATATACTAAGGAGGTAGTCGCGGAAGGTGTCTACCATCATGGTGCCAGGTCATCGTTCCTCCTGTTGTGCGTTGCCACAAAGTCATCCGCTTGGTCCCAGCTATAGAAGTCCATCTCCCTGTTCAAATTTTCATGTCCTCCACAATACTTGAGCTCAATTGTTGGATCCTTGGTGATTCTCCAAAGCACATCTTTCCAGTCAATGTCGAAAGTGCGAGTACTGTGGGCCACTTGAAGGAAGCTATCAAGGATAGGGCACAAAATCGATTTAGTGATATTGATGCTTATGTGCTTGACCTATGGAAGGTGAGTGATTGAACTGAGGATCTGCTACTGAGGATCTGAAACTGCAGAAGGTCAATATCAATATAAATGACGTGGACTCACTCGACACAATTGGGGATCAAGACAGCGTCAAGGGTGGCAAGCTGCTGAATCCAATGGTCAGACTGCGTAAAGTGTTCAAGGATGGATTGGAAGATGAACATGTTCATATTGTTGTGGTGTATTATTGAAAGTGTAACAAATGTATCGATGTAACTAAGGTTTGCCTCAACCTATCGCTAGCATGTCACCACGGACATCTCTAGCTCACATTTCTGCGTACAAACGTTTTATCCACACGTCTAGGCCATCGTTCAACTTTATCGGGCTTCCAGATCCAACTTCCAACCTCCGTCCCATCATATACACCACTGCCACCTCTTCGTCCTCCCCTTCTGAGTCTAAACAGCACCCATACTCCCTCAGAGAATTCTCAGACGATACAGTAGACCACGAACTACAGTGGAAACTCCATCGAGAACAGCTCGACGCGTTCAACCACGCATACTGGGCAGAGGTAGGTTCTGCATTATCGTGATTCAGAACGAATGATTCGAATCGATCACTACTAGAGTAACACCCGCTTCGAAGCTGCCAAATCCTCAGTCCTTGCTGCCCTCCCACCCAATGCACCTACAGAAGCACACGAGAACGCCTTGTCTGACTTTTACAAGAAGTGGGTGGTCCAGGAATGGGCGCGCCAGGACGAGTATGCCGCGGAGCTCAGGAAACGGACATTTGAGGATCTCTCGCTCTCTGCTAAAGTTGAGTTTCAGAGGGTGAAAAAGAGGTTGGCGAGCTGGAGGTTTCTATAATTTGTATAGATTTTGCAACTGCAGGACTCGCACGACACTACTCTATCCCTCTCTTGCGTACCCCAGGTCCAGCATCACCAGCTCCCTAACACGATGATACACGTCTTCTAGTCTCAGTCCTTCGACGCCTGAGCTCTCGGCTCTGTAATCTCTTGCCAAGTCACCCACCATGTCCTCCTGTATGCCTGGGAAACGCGACTTGATCTCGGGCATCAAAGGCACCGACAAGCATTCTTTCGGGTCAAGGTCGACACCTGGTATTTGAGATAATTGGGGCGAGGGTAGAATAACGTTGAACGTGGTATAAAGCGCGGTTGCACGGAAGCGGGAGGTTAGTTGGGCGTCAGTGATGTTGGCAGTTTCGCGGATGGAGTCCCAGCTAAAATGACCATTAAAGCTGATGAATGGGATAGGGAGATGGAACATACTCATCGTGATTGTATATTCTACACCACACTCTTTTGAATGAGGATTGTCTCCTCGCATCTGGAATATCCTTGTACGATAGTCGTCATTCCAGCGACAAAAAAGCCATGATAAGCACGACGACATACCTCGGCATGCGCAAGTAAGTGCAGTGCAGTAGCATAGTTTTCCACGCCCTCCGCATTGTCTTGCAGTGTGAGCACGTCCGCCGCATCTTCCAAGCTGAGCGCCTTGCCCTGAAGCACTTGCCTCACAAAAATCTTCATGATCTGCTCATGGAAATCAGCACAAATTAAGAGAAACAATAGAAATCTGCGCACCCCAAGCAGCCCGTGCCTCCGGTCTCCTTTCAGTCTGGTACCTTTTGCCCTTATTACCGCATCCACTTGCGCGTCCAGGCTCTGTTTTTGTTTGCCCCGCAGACTGCTGACAGCTTCCTGGAACTCCTGAAGAATTTTCTCCTGCACCGATATAAAATCCAGGCTATCATGGAACGCTGGACGGCATTTAGTCAAGCACATCGGTGCAAAAAGAAACTGAACAAACGTACCATCCAATACAGCATCGTCCGCATTCCCAGCCTCCTGCATCTGTGCCAAATGCGCAAGCTTGCCTACGCTAAGCATAAACTACACCGCACACCAATCAACACCCACCCCAATCCAATCACTGAAATCCAAATTGACTCACATGCTTAACACCTACATCTCCAGCGCCCTTCGCCTCTCGAAACAATCTTGTGCCAGCAACACTCCACCGCCCCTGCCCCAAATCCCTCAACCACGCCACCGCATCGCATCTGCCTCCCTCACCTTCCTCCTCCGCCCAGTACTCATCCATATACCTTCCCCACTCTCCCCTCCCACTCTCCTCCATCGCAAATACCACCCTCGCTTCCCCATGCACCATGCACCATCGCACAACCTCCCTCGCAAACATTCCGCCAAAGCGGTCGACATACTCTTCGATCGTGCGCGCGTGCGGATTGGAAGAGGGCGGGTAGACGGTGTCTTGGTGTAATAGCGCAGCGAGAGAGCGGAAGTCGGCGTGTGATGCGGCGAGCGTGAGAGCGTTTGGGAGGTAAGAGGTCAGACCTGTAAATTATGGGGTAGTTAGGAAAATGAAAGGGAGAAGATTGAAAGAAGGGAAAGCGTACGAAGAGTTTCGAGGATCTCGGGGCGGAGTTGGTCGAAGCGTTCTTTGAGCTCTATGTGGTCCCTCTCGGAACCAGGTTCGTCTGCTGCTATGGGACTATCCGTCGATTAGCCCTCTGCTCTCTCGGGCTATGCATTGAGATAAACAACTTGCCTATCGAGCCAATCCAATCTCTCTTGCATACATGCGAAAAACATTGTCGCAAGCTCTGGGAGAAGCTCCCTCGATGCGCTTTTAGTGTTTGCTTTGCTTGGGTCAAGCGCGAACCTATAGCAAAGAAGGGTCACGATACATATGATAAACGCATCCCAAATCTACGCACCTCGTGGCCGCATCGACAAGCTTTAACACACCGTCGATGGCACTCGGGCGGCTCGTCCATGGCTTGATCATAGGCAGTTCGATGCCATACACGGCAAGATTATACGCTCTATACGAGAGCGCTGCTTGCAGAATCGTCTAGAGCCCACATCAGAACCATTCCAAACACGTACAAAACATTGTGAGAGTAAGAGGGTAAAAACTCACAACAACAGCACCTCCAACCTCTCTCATGGCACCTTCTCCAGCCCTCTCGACCCGTTCCACCATGAACGGAATCAGCCGGCCAATCTCTGCTACTCTATACCTGAAGAAATCTCGGACAACATCGTGCGAAGCGGATGGGTGTAAAAGAGGGTGGGCAGCTGTGAATGCGTGAATAGCATCAGTGACGAGGGAGTGGGAGGCCCCAGCGCTGTTCGGATGTAGTCAGAGGGGTGAATAAAGGAAGGAGTAGATATAGGACGCACTCTAAATGTTCATTCATCTTCAACCAAAGCTGATGACATGCATAAAGCTTTTCCGCATCTGTAGCAAGACGCTGGCGGCTGCGCTGCGACATCTTTGCGAGTGCTGCATTGTCATTGATGAAACGTATGAGCCAGCTGAGCCTATCTTTTCGAGAGGTCAGTTGAGAGGTGAGGTCATGATTCGGTCGGATGATCTCTGGGTCTTTCCGGTTGGAATAAAGGTGTCGCACCAATAATGAAAATAACCGACCGAAATCATCGCAGAAGAAATCAGTGTCTTCGGAGTAGCTGCAAGGATAATATGTACGTACCGCTCTCGAGGACGGCCCTGCTTAACCCCTCTGCACCTGTCATGAGCGCCTCGGCATCAACCTCGGGCGGAAACGAGAAATGTAGGGGGTTATCGGGGTTGCTTCCGTAAAGTATGGCTTGTGTGAGGAGTGCTCTTATGAGGATCGCGCGACCGGTTCTGTGGAATCAGATTGGCTCAGTCATCAGGACACGGAGCAAAGAAGTAGACGGGGGAGAGGAACGCGACTTACGCCTCATCGAATGATTTGACCCTCCCTAAATCCACACGAGCACGCATGAGCACGCCGGCTGTTAGTATGAGCATGTCCTCGGGTCCTTCTCCTCCCCCTTGTTCCTGTTCTGCAGAAAACGAGTGCATTGGGGATTGGAATGTTGTAAGCACACCGAGTCCGAGTATCTGATCTGTGTTGGGGGCTTTCAGGGTAAGGCGATCCTGGTAGGGGGAGTCTATGCCGCAAAGGGGTGAGTTGTTCGCTGGATTATGGCAGGCTGAGACGAGAACGCACCCCGAGCACAAAATACGACCACATCTACGAATCTGATCGCTACGACTGCACCTCCCCCGAGGAGTGTCAGACGAGGATGTAAGGGTGCCGACGCGGCTGTCTATGAGCACGCTTTTTAGCTAGATTTCATGCAGAGCCAAGATAGAGAGTCCCACCGTAGCATATAGCACCCCCGTAACACCATCTATCTTCATGCCTCCACCTATGCCCTCTATCACACCTCCATCTCCACCTCCTCCCTCAAACTTCGCCACCTCACCCCGCTTCGTGCTAGCACTAAGTCTGACAAGCGCATATATCCTTCTCGGTACCGGTGCGCCCATACCAAACCCACCGTACTGGTCGAGCGCCATCGCAGCTGTCTCTTGCTCAGACCCGGCGTATGAGACTAGGACAACGAGTGTCCCATCGCTGTAGACGCGGCAATTAGCCAAATCTTAACCCAACACGATCAAAATGCACCTCTCCACGCCCAAATCGACACCCTCTAGATCCTCCACGTTCCCCACTGCCTCTCGGACATCCACTTCATCCAGTAACACCTCCTTATTCAAGCTCCACCTCTGCACGCGGGTCTCGCTGAGCGTCCATAATTCCTTATCTGCTACCATACCCCTTCCAACCTCGCCACTACCAAAACCAAGAGCAAGAGCAGATATATTCCCTAGTGTAGGCTGGGGAGCAGGCGTGGACCAGAGGAGACGCGCAAGAGAGAGTCCAGGTGCGGGCGGCGGTGCAAAAAGCCTTGCTGAGAGCGTATGCCGCCCGCTTTGAGATGTGAGCGTGAGTCGAAATAGACGTCCATGCGATGTAGACGCAATGTAGATTTGACCCTACGAGCGTACGTCAACACACAATACATGTGAGCGTACTGAGGCACCTACGTCAACCCTAAGCAATCCAGACGTATACTCTCCCTCTCCGAGCTCAAGATTAATGCTTTCGAAACTGCCGCCGCCTGCTAAACCGCTGGTTATGCTGTCCCAGAAACGGATGTCACCGCGGATGGAGAGAAGAACAAGACCAGGTTCTGAACGTGACCTAGAGGGGACTAGAGCGTGGAATGGTGCAGATGGAGGTTGTGCGTAATCTTGAGAGGAAGGTGGACCAGGGAGGATGTAGCATGTAGTCGGTTTGGTGTGATGCCAGACGAAACAGGTGTTCGAGGACGCGGCAAGGGCGTACCCCGTGATGGCATCAACTGCACCTGTCCAAGATTGAGAATAGAAATCTGTGTACGGTCAAGCTTATTTTCAACGCTTGGATGAATTGAGTTGAGTAGATGGACGTACCGGCACCCTTTAACTCGCGCCTGACTTCAAACGGGAGTGCAGCATGAAAAGCAACACTGATCTCATCCGTGCGCGCGTAGAGAGTCTCCCTCCCTGATCCTAGCATACGTTCATTATACATTTGCACGTCGTCGACGTCCATGACGTCTTGTACCACAGCGATATCGTCAGTGCGCCTGGAGGGTGTGCCGGCAGGGCGTGCACTGACCATCCGGCGCTGTCTAGGCGGCGTCACTGATTGACGCGGCGTAGCGTATCTGTGCGTTTTTCGTGGTGCAGGCGACGCCATCGTTGCCTGAGCTGACTGCAGTGAGGTCCTCGAATTCAATACAAATTGACAAAGTAAGTAATACAATACTCTGTGATTCAGTAGTACAAACAAACATCAACATCTGCTCATCGCTCTCCACGACGAACAAGAAGTATGCTAGGCATAGAAGACTACGGTAGTGACGTCGACAGCGAAAACGAAGCGTCGTCCTCTGTATCGTTTTCTAAAGCACCAGTACCAGCGCCATCGAAGCCCTCAGGTCTCTCCCTACCTGCACCCAAATCATCAAGTCTTTCACTTCCACCACCAACCAAAACAAAACGCACAAAGAAGATCGAAATCACGCTCCCCTCGCTTCCTTCAAATGATTCTGATACAGACGACCGACCACCAGTCAAGAAACCCCGAATCACATCTAGCAAAGGGGCAGGCACATCATCCCTTCTCAACATGTTACCCGCACCTACTCAGCCTCTGCCCGTCAAACCCAAGAAGGCTGAGCGCATGCTTGGAGGCGGAAATGGTCCAGGGCTAGTGTTCCATGCACCAGTGAGCGTGCAGGAGGACGGCGAAGGAGATGGCGAGGAGGCATCCATGTCTTTCCTACCCCCTTCAATCAAGAAGGGCAAATCCAACGTCAATCTAGACCGCGAGGACCATCAGCCTCAAGCACCGTCAAAGGGACCCGCTGTGAACTTCTTCTCTCTCGGTATGTTCCTTGCGACTCTGCGTTTCTTATCCTGATCCTTTGCAGGTACCTCTTCGAGACCTAATTCTACGGTACCTTCCACATCCACGACACCAAACACATTCACACCAACCGTCTCGTCTGCCCCTGAGGTGGCCTCATTCACTCCCCCATCTCCGACGCCTACTGACGCCTACCCTGGATACTACCTCCTCCCCTCCGGTGCCTGGGCCGCTCATGACCAGGCATACTACGCCACATTCGTCAAAAAGTGGCAGAAAGAATATGACGCCCAGGTCCGCGCACTCGAGAAAGGTGAGGTGGAGAGAGAGGCAGAAGAAGCGGCGGAGGTCAACATGCAGACAGAGATGGAGAAAGCACGGAAAGAAATAAAAGAGAGGGAGGACAGGAAGGCTCTTACGGGCGTCAAGACCGGGGAGCCAGAACGACCGCGGATGAACGTACAGGTCTGTGTGCTGTTCTTGATGCTTCCGTTGCATGGTAGACCAGTCCTCACGATACTATACTCTACAGGGCGCAAAACTAGGCTCGACAGCTCGTTCACGACATCAATTGACGACGCTCCTCACAGACGCTTACCAGAACCGGGAGGCAATGGAGGAGAAGATCGCACAGGCACGCAGGAACAGGAAAGAGGCAGGGAACAAATATGGTGCGTGTCTTTTCCCTTGTGTGGTCTCCGTTATACGATTCATCAATCCTACAGGTTTCTAGGTTCTTGGAAACGATTATACACCATGTTAGGGATATGTTGCTACTGCTAAGAGGGTATGCATAATATTTACGAGATGGACTATGCTACATGTTTAATAGATCCACGTTTGTCCAATTACCATGCTCGATGCGCCAAAATCGGACCCGGCTCCCGCTGCCGTGGCCTGCGTAACTGCACGTCTCACCTGGCAGCAGAGAATTCTGCCCACAAATGTTATCGTTTGCACCAACAAGGGAAAAGAACACGCACTTGTAACACTCTTCGTTCCCTCACTAATCGCATGCTTGGCGAGCTCTCCGGGAAGAATAAGCCTCACTGCTGTCTGAATCTCACGCGAGGAGATGGTAGACTTCTTCGTATAAGATGCAAGCTCTGCACAACGGGAAGACATCGGTCGCTGCCGAAATAAAACAAAATCGACCAAAATGACGTACTGCTCGCTTCCGTGGCGATCCTTTCGAACAGGTCATTTACGAATGAATTCAAAACGCCCATTCCCTTGTTCGATATCCCAGTATCGGGGTGCACCTGCCTTAGCACTAAAAGAGAAAACACGTTAGCCAGTTATTGCATCCGAATGCGAGCAAAAGCGAATAGGTGAACGCACCCTTGTAAATGTAACTGCTGTATGTCTCCTTCCTTGCCTTCTTACGCTTCTTTTTCATATCCCCATCTTCTTTAGAAGGTGCCTTCCTAGCTGCTTTCTGCTGTCCCGCTGACGACACGGGTGCTTTAGCAGCTTTGGAAGCGGGCGCCTTGGAAGCGGTTGAGTTGGGCTGCGTCAAAGGTAAGCAAGTTGTCAGTTTGAACAACATTGACGAACTAAGATACCTTGAACGGCATACTTGCTCAAAGCAAAATAAAAGGAAAGAAAACGCAGAAAACACGTAAACGCCCCTACAAAGACGCGTCGCGCTTTATACTAGCCGACGCGCTCCCAAGCGGAGTTTGAAGCGCTGTGGCGGTCTTGTTGGAATAGGAAGGTTGCTTTTCGGGCGCCCGCCTAGCTCAATCGGATAGAGCGTCAGACTTTTACGAATGTCGGTTCCATCTGACGTAATCTGAAGGCTGCGAGTTCGACCCTCGCGGTGGGCTATAGTACACTTTTGCTTTTTGAACTGTGACAAACCAATCACATATAAATGCATGTTTTTATTCACTTCGGCGAACTAACATTAATTAGACCAGTGACTAATTCCCCAAACTCATTACCAGCGGCCCGCCTCGCCGGAACTTCGCTTCGAACGGTTCTTTTGCTGCCTCGTCGACTGGCATGCATGTGACAGGCTCTAGACTCATGACCAGTTCTTACTACGTCTCTGAAATGTTAGGTGTTGGTTTCGCCACTCGACTTGTCCCTGGTCACGAGCCTAGTATTAGGCAGGCCCTTCGTTGAGCCCGGGTAAGTGGAACGAAAAAAAAGAAGTGGCCTAAAATACCAACAAAATACCATGACAAACCAACGGCCGGAACTACCAATCTCTGTCTCAAGGGTATTTCAGACAAAGAAGACCCATGATAGACACAGATCGAGACGAACCAGCTAACAACACAATCATGATCAGTGGGTCGCGTAATCATTTATTCGCTCCTGCTAGCGGGTTGTTCTTACATTCTTTATCGAATTGTTTACAGCAGTAGTAGCATCAAAGTAGTCTCCCCTAGAAAGACCAATAGACCAATGAAGATATATATTGAGATGAAGATAACATACTAACTAGTTTTCAATATCTTGATAGTTGAGCAATGATGCATGCTCTGCCTCATGGTTAACGCATGGCCGAGTATGGCCTGAAATAAACAATGAGGAACGAGGAGGAATAATTGTCTCCCTTTGATTGGTTTGACCTGGACTTGGCAAGACTGGACCTAACATATTGTGGTTCGAAAGTTCATCAGAGAAAATGAACTGGGCAGATTATCTTGAAGCAATCCAGTCTATCTCCAGCGAAGTAAACGTGCGCTCGGAATGATATATCAAGAAAAATGCTAGACATGAAAAGTCTGACAACCAAATAGGAGAGTCCCTATGTAAGAGGGTGTTGCGATACATATCACTCAAAGATGATTCTAGTGCTTGCCTTCCTCCGTGCTAGGTACTTCAGGCACCGACCGAGCACGATTCACCCATCCTCCAACGATCCATGATCCTGCGAGTAAACCGAGCAAGACCCAAACTCCTCTGGTTTGCTCATTGTTCAGGGGCCTAGACTTTGCGTGCAAATCAGGCCCTTGCTCCTTGGCAGCCCGTACCACATTCGAGACCGCCTCGCCAACTTGGAAACTCCGCTCCAGCCCAAGATCATCGGCCAAGTCACGGAATAAGCCAGATTCAATCGCGGGTTTGGATTGACTTTCCGGCTCGATAACCACTACTTCCTCAATAACCACCGCGTCCTGAGGCTTTTCAAGGTTGTAGGTGGGACCACCATCAGGATGTGTCGCAGACCCCGAAACAACGTGTAATTTTGGGTGAGAAGGCTCTATAGGCTCGGGTTTCGGACTAGAAGAATCCCAAAAATCGGGAACGAAGGGCTGAGGGGATGATCATCAGATGTGAAAATACAAGGTCGTATCAAAGAGTTCGCATGTGACAAAGACTCGATATGGTCGATGAGGAATAAAACCATTAGGCCCGTAACTTAAATCGGACCGCCTCATCGATCAAGGAATGAGGGGGAAATACTTACTACTTGAACGGGTTCGGGTGGCCCATCTTGAGAGAGGTTGGGTAATCTAACCAAGAAAAAGTCGGGCGTCTTTGAGGCACCCGCGGGCTGTGATGCAGGCGGTATGCTCGGAGATGCGGTCTGTGGTGGAGCGGCAGATGAAGACGCATTGCGAGATACGGCGGGCGTAGGCTGCAAAAAAGGAAGAGCTTTAGATTCCTCATGCACCTGAATTCGGTTTATGATGTCAGATTTGTTGCCCTTGCTGATGGTACAATCAGTTCGGATTACAATGCGAAGAGAACAAAGCAAAAGAGGTTAACCGTAGGAGCCGAAAGTGACTCACGTCGAAAGACCTCGGGTTTTCGCTTCATGACGCAAAGTGACCAGAGTCTCATTTTCCCAAGTTCGGGAGAGAAGAACCGTAGAAACAAAGTTCCTGTGGTTTACTGTGAAGCGTGACGCATTTATTAGATTTTTCTGGTGCACGACAGCTCGAAACATGATTTTTGATGTTCAAGTTTGGTTTGGTTGGAGTCCGTGCTGTTACCACGTGCCACGCCATCTACACAGCTTGATGTACGAGTCACATCTAAAGTGATTATCGAATGACAGGCTCGTATCGACGTCGGGCCAAGGGTTACCCGCTGTGGGTATTGATTATCATCAAACTTGGCTAAAGAAAGTTCTCGTGAGTCCGGGTCCTGGGATCATTTGATACGAGCGCTTGATGACTTGATCTATCTTTTGCAGCAATTGACTCCTTGCCTCGTGTTTCTATCGCGTGTTCTCGACCTGCTAATAATCAAAAATCCTTTTTTGATTTGGCATGACTCTTTTCCTCATACTCTAATCCCCAGCCCTCCGTTATTTCAGCTATGCTTCTCTCTCCAGCGTAAGAAAAGGCCACAGATCTCCCAATTATCAGCCTTCAAATGTTTTCTTCATGCAGATCAACCAGCGCCAGTCTTCCCTCTCAATCTTTTTGGGGAAAGTTCAAGAAAAAAGACAAGGAGAGCGAGTTCCGCGAGAGGCAAGCCCAAATGGCGCTTGCACGACAGCGACTCCTCACACTTGCCTACGAGGATATGGAGACAGTGAGAATGGTACGAACATTTCCCCTTTGCCCTCATATTATCTTGTAATTCCGTCTTCCGCCACAGCTACCTAATAGTTTCCCCGTAAGTGGCGGTGGTTGTTGCCCGTGTCCGGCTGATCTGTTCCTGCACAGGAACTCGAAGCAGTAGCTAGAGATTGGACAAAACCTCCCCCCGATGCCGTCTTCGGCCTGCGTGTTCCTGTTGAATTCGCATCCCTTCATGCCTCTGTAAGTCGACGCTGTCGGGTTGGATGATATTTTTTGATGTCATTGTCAGCGGCTGGTTTCCGGGCCCTATATCTATGTGCGTGATCGAATTCTATCTCTGATATGGGTGGCTCATGGCAGATATGTGTAGCTCACCGGCGAGGATTCATACCAAATTGCGATAATGGGCGTGCAGGGGCTGCGGGTGGAGATTGTAAGCGACGCCCCTCCGCCACCTGATGAACCACCGTAAGTTTGATGCTATGATCATGAACTCGTCTGAGCTAATGGTGTCATAGGCCGCCACCGTAAGTACGCTTTTGAATTAGCCATGCACTGCTTGAGATGTCTTCAGTCCGCCGCCGGTCACGGAAATGCCTGCCACGTTTAACCTGGAGCTCGTACCCGGCCAACACGTGGTCCTAGAAACAACAGTTGCTTCTGCTGATGACGTCGATATGGCCCGCATGGAAGACGGTACCGTTGTCGATGGCCAGTTCTGGGGCAAGCTAAACATAGTGCACGACGGCGGCACTCACACTGTCGACTTCACAGGCACCCGTATACTCAACCCTGACGTCCCACCTGACATGCTCTTCGATTCGCGTGTCATGAGTAAACTCACGACCGCTGCCAAGCCTTCTTCTGTCAAATGCCACCTGAGCATCCTTTCACCTGCCCAGCAGTATTGCGATGTCATTCTCTCAGTCAACCCGCTATGGAGGCTTGAACTTACATGGCCCCCTGCGCAACCAGTTAACGAAACCAAAGTGAAATATTTTCTGCGTGTTCACCCTGGTGGTGCGCTCGAGCATTTTGAGAGTGAGATGGTTACGACGTCGTTATATTACGAAGCTGTGTAAGTGTCATACCTCTCATTCCTGGATCATTGATCCTTATACTACGCAGACCCGACCCAGCGATGGTCGATCCTAATGATTTTATTGCACCCCGAAATGGATACGCTATGACTTTCCGAGATTTCGTGCCACACCTTATGAGTGTCCTAGACCAGCTAGGCATG